GGGGGGAGGTGGGGTCGATGTTTGTGATGGCTGTCGTGGGCGGTGGATCTGATGACAGTCGTCGCGAAGATGGGGTCTGGGTTTGGAAAATATCGCAGATTGGTGATGGTGATCCGTGTGGTAGTGTGATAGTTGTCTTTTTTGTTATTGTTGTGGGGATTAACGGCGGTGGTGGTTCTTTTTGGTGTCTATGACCTAGCTATTGTGGTTCTCTTGTTATCTGTGACCTAGCTATTGAACTGTAACTTTAAAATTGATAATTTGTAACTAAAAAAAGATTCTGAGACCTATAATTTTTTTGATCTGTGACTTCAAAATAATTCGTGACCTATAAAATTTTAGATTTGTGATTTCGAAATAATCCATGACGTGCAAAATTTTTGATCTGTGACCTGGAAATAATTCGTGACGTACAAATTTTTTTTTATCCGTGACCTCGAAAATGTCCGTGACCTACAAATTTTTTTATCTGTGACCCCGAAAAAAGTCTCCGGATCAGTAGTCGTCGGTCACCAAAATAGTCGTCAGAGCAGAGGTGGCGATGGAGTTGGTTAATTATATTATATTACAGTTTAATATAATAATTGTGAAATATAATTAATTAATTTATGAAAAACCTGATTTTTGCAATTCTAAACAATGGGGCCTGATTTTTTATTTTGGGATAGATAAAGTCTGAGTTGTGAATTTTTCCTTTTCATTTACATTTTTGTGGCTTCTCTCTTTGAATTGTCGAAGAAGCGGTCATGGGCCAATTTTAAAATTTGAGTGATGGACATGGACCGACTGAGTCACGCACGACAAGTCTATTCAAGACACTAACATGTGTTTCGCACTTCTACTGAAAAAACATATATTACATATAATTTCGAAAGGGTTGTTGAATTTTTTATTTTTTCAAAAAAGTACTCATTTGCGTGACATAATGATTTCAAGAAGCACAATCGACAAAGAGAGTAGAAATGTTGGATTAAAGGGTGATTAATGGATCGATTATGGGTTGGATCCTCCAAATAAACCCTAGAGTATATAATCAACTTTTTATTTGGTAGACCCGTTTAAAGGATAATTATTTCAAGCAAAAGGAGGAATTTGAACGATTAAAGATTAATTTTATACCAAGTCTCAATCAATCTTTCATCATGAAAGCCGAAAGATTGGATTTGGCGCACTTAATGTCGGGTAATTAATCAAGGAAGAAATGGGGTTTCCCTTCATCTTAAAAACCTTCTTTTTTTGTTAAACATTTTATCTTCGATGTAAAGACTATACTTTAATTATAATTTTCAAAATTAAAAAAGACGAGTTTCGTGAACTTCGAGATTAAAGACTATGTTACTATTTCAACCTTCAGAACTCGATAATTTTCTGTCGTGAATATTTGAACAGATTGTTAACAGTTCAAGAATTGCGTCCTGATCATATTGTAACCATGTGAAATTAAGGATCCATAAGAGTTCGCAATCTCATTTATTATGAACGTCAAATTTTGGCCAACTAGATTTTCAATAGTTGCAACATTAGTCCTTATCGATGATCTCCATCCCATTTTTCTCTCCTTAATATGCTCGACCTTGACCCCCAAACTCCAAAGCCCCACATTTACACTTTCACTTGTCTGATTCTTTAAAACCGACCACCATCCTTTTCAACTAAAAATCAATTTGGCCCCCTCCAAATTTTCATAATGGATAAAAGTCCTTTTATTGGTCGATCGAATTAGATGATTGTTAGAAGCTAGCCGTCAATGGACCCTTATCCAACACTTATTAACTTAAACTCTCACATCAAGTCACGAATTGCGCCTATCAAAATCTGATTAAACTTTTGAATTTGTCAAATAACTCATAGATTGAATATCAGTGAATATTACGATTCAACATACATTTGAATTGGTCGAGTATCTTGTGGAAAATTGATCAATTACGATAAATTATATCCACTTAAATATAAAAGATCCACGGTTTTTGGGTGAAAGATATAAATCCCAATGGAAAAGAGTAGACAATAGAGAATGTGACCAACTTTTGAATTGAAAGGCCATGACAAAACGCGTGTTCCTCTACCCCTTTTTTAGCCTTTTTAAAAAGCAGAATTTGGATAAGTAAAAACAGGGAAAAAAACAAAAAAAACAAAAAACAAAAAGTAATTACATTAAGCTATCGGTCACGTGATGGGAACACACCCTTTCGGAATTTTGGCGAGCAGGTGAAGAGTGCACGTGACCGGAAAGTGAGGAGGAGTCTTGCAAAATTTGGCTCAGCCACACGAGTTCACGGTCTTGTCTCTTTACGTCACTTTTTTGGAATCTTTTTTC